AATCTCAATATGCAGCCAGTCCTTATAACCCAAATTACGCAAATATATGCCCTACCAAAGACTTACAAACCCTAAAAGGCCAGGGTGCTATCAATGGCATAACACAAACTCCTGCTACACTTCTCAAATTCTGCATGTGTGCGCCTGAACTGGCACGATTGCTAATGAGACTGAAAACATAATCGGGATGATAAACCAGAATAGAACTGTGCATCACCGTCTTAACCAGCCAACAGTGAGGAGGCAAGAGCAAGCTATTGCAAACCTGAGTCGAGTTATAAAACCATGTAACATATTCACCTCTGATGAAACGCACATGTACAAGCTCATGACCAAAGAGATTCTTCCAAAAGAAATAGAGGAGAGCATCTTGGCAAGAGAAAGAAGAGGCTCCACTGCGATGAATACATTTGTTGAGAAAAGGATATGTGGAGACACCAACCTCTGGGACAAGATGACAAAGTGTAAGCCCTTTCTTTGGAACTCGTCATCGAAAGAGAACAAACTGCAAGCCAAGTCTGAGGTCCTAACTCTACGAGCAACCACAGGTCTAATGTCCAGACTACTCATCATTGCAGGAGCTAATGGCTGTTAGATCCTTTGAGACCTGCCTTGACCTCAGCAATGCATATGTTGAACTTATAAATGCGGAAGCCCGTAACTACGAGGTTAACCGTGTTGTATTTGACAATTACTCTATAACAGGATCATTAAAGGAAACGACCCGAGAACGACGCCGAGGAGGTAAAAAGCCACCAGTTGGCTATCAGGTCAATGATAGCACCAAAATTAAAGAGAGGAAAACGTTTCTTAGTAGCAATACTACAAAAAGATTCACTCACACTCTATCTGGCACAGAAGCTCATAGATAACGCTCATGTTGACATCATAACTGCAACACATAAGGATGTTATGTCGAACCGCTCCTGGCGTTAGCTCCAAGGAAGAAGCTGACACGTTGGTGATATTCCATGCTGTCGAAGCAGCAAAGACTGGATATGTCATTCATATATACAGTCAAGACACAGATGTGTTGCTTGCTGCGTTAAGGCGTTTGCCTTTGCTTGGTGAAAACGCAGCTATGGTTATGGGTACAAGCGATAAACGTCGACTTGTTATGCTAAAGCCAATCTTTAATGCTCTTGGGGAAAATAAAGCTAGAGCTTTGAGCAAATGGCATGCCTTGACGGGTTGTGACACGACAGGACACATAAGGGGCAAATCCAAGATTGCCTGCTTGAATTCATTCTTGAAAGCAGACCCATGTATTGTGGCTGCCATATCTGCCCTTGGAGTTGAAAGTGAACCTTCAGATGAAACCATCAAGGGGTGTATATCCTTCCTATGCAGCCTCTTCTGTAAAAAGGGCGTCACCATTACCAAACCGCAGATCCTTCGGTGGAGTTTGTTCAAGCAACAAGGCATCGACAAAGGTGTCGAGATGCTACCACCAACATCTGGAGCTTGGGTACAGCATATTCGCAGAGCTCACTGCCAATCTGCTATATAATATGGGAGCAGGACCTTATTCCCCATCCAATTGTTCCAGACCCTCTTAAGCTTGGCTGGATATTAGGAGACAACAGATTGGTGCGAACGTTGTCAGATATCGCCCCAGCCCCAACTACTGTTGTATAGTTAGTAAAGTGTAGGTGGGGTTCTAGTAAATAAGTGTCAATGACACTGTAGCTCACCACAAAAAAAGGACACAAATGAGTGAGTAAGAAGAAGTCAGTTTTAATTGAGCAACCATCTGAATATCGCAATAATAATTTATAAACGAAAATATAAATCACAATTTGTGACCGTAGATGGCGCTATACCCGCTTTGTAGCGATGGTGTTTGAAATAAATAGGTTATGCTGCGTTCCGACATGTTTTGTAAATCTTTACTCTAATATAGACGTTTTATCGGCAGGGTGGAGAGGAAATACCAATTTTGCATTAAAGATATTGTCAATGAAATCTTGTATAACAAACCAGACGAGTGTGACACCACACTGTTTGTGTCTATATAATATGCTATATAATTGCCAAACCCTACCTAATTTGCTTTTTTTTTTAAATATGAAAACCCCTAGCCCTTATTCATTCACATACCAAAAATGAGCAAAATCCGTTTAACCTGAACTGACTAATGGCAATTCCCATTTTTGTCAAAAAATTGCCGTGGCTCGAAAGTACGTCGACTGGCGTGCTTCAAAATAGGACGTTTAATATGGGAGCATATAGCAGTAACAACTATACCCAATTTCAAACATGTGGGCCAAACGGTTCCTGAGTTATCGTTGACTGAAGCAAAATGTTGACGGACGGACGGACGGACGGACATATGACGAACACATATGGTACATAGAGCATGCCTAGTTTATGAAAAGATTAAGTATTAATGAGAATTCATTAAAAAAAACACGAAATATAATGGAGCTATACCTATGGGCTGGTTATTTAAAATGATGCCAGTCAGTTCATCGAAACAACTGACTGCAGTTAACTGCGTACTTGTATGACCTTTGACCCTGTAAGTTTGGCAAAATATGTCACAATCTAGGACTAAGCCTCTTGACTTTCCCCATTGCAATATGTGGTGGAACAATGGTTGCTCTAGATCAACAGATCAGGTTAATGTAAGCGTTATCAACTTTTGGGTAATAAAAACAGCAATTTTAGCACATCACTTGTCTTTCTTTTGTAATAGGTTGGTCAACATTCAACATATTTGAACATGGGCGGTTTAAAATAATAGCAGGGAAACTCCTTGAACAAATTTAGGGGTAAAAAGCACCATTAGAGCCTGTTCTTGGCCAAGGCAGGAGTGCTAAAAGCAATATTCAAGATTTCGAAGAAGGTCAAAAATTGGTGACCTTTTGAAATCTAGTGACCTCATAATTCACCTATCATTAGAAAGAGCTCTTAAATACCAACATTTTGAGTGGTCACATGATCCATTAGCTTTAAAAACAACAGATCTAGTAGACTTTTTGTTTTCTCCACCCCTAATTTTTCGCCAATTTTTGAGTTGACGCTCTCAACACAAAAATGTTAATACAGAAAAATGCTCAAGGGTAACGGGTGATCATCTACCTAGAAAGTGAAGACCAACACCTAGTCTACAAGAATCAGCAAAGAAAAAAACTTTAACTCTTAGTGCAGGGTATGACCCCATGGCTCCCGGACTACAATGATTGGATTTGACATTGACGGGTAAAGTTAATAACATGGATTGTTTTTATATAATTCGGTATACGTAGAATCGATACACATCTTATAACTTCAATTTAAATGTGCCAGATCGTGCACATAAGTATACCTGCTAATTATCACAGAATACACACATTACATGGCGAATTATATGACCCCCAACATGATGCTGTTGCTATATGACCCCCAACCTGATGTTGACCCCCAACCACACTAGGATCCGTTCATGCTATTATTTACGATTTTTTCTATTTACAGCGACTAGACGGACTTGCGGCCCCGGTTTTTGCGCGCAGCGCACAGCTCGCGGCAAAGCCGCGCCCCAACAGCGAATACGCCGCCCCCCTTTTTGTCCATTTAGACAGATATCTGAGACAGGGGTCTGAAAACGCACTCCGCGAAAACTGGGCGCAATCCAACCGACATTTCGGGATGGACGGCAGGAGGCCATCTCCAAACGGTCCCTAAACTTTTTTTGGAGTGGCACGCCTCATGGCTAAGACGTAGTGGCTCCTACAAGAAAATTCCAGAAATGCTGCCAGTCAGCGATGACGCGCTCGCTCGTTGGCCGCTACGCGATGACGGGCACTACTGCCGAGTATAGAGTTATGTCTATCACAGAGCTTTTTACGAAGTGTCGTACGGCGCTCCACGTGGGGTGGCGCGGCCTAGATGCTATCTTCAAACGCGCTCCCGCCGTTACGGCGCCGGGCTGCGTACGTGCGAGTTTTACCAACCTTATTTGGAAACCCCGCGCTGCCGGTGGCTGACGCACGTCGTGCGAGCACCGCGGGCTGGCATGGCGGGGCGAGATACTGCCGAGACGGGGTGGCGTTGGCCGTGCCATTTTTTACACGTAGCTAAGTAGACTAGCTCGCAAGCAGCAACAGCAAACAAAACTCGCCCTGCCGCGCAGCCGCGGCTGACTGCAGCCAGCAGCAGCAGCAAATGCCCCATCAGAAGGCGCGCCATAGCCGAAGCGCGGTGCTCGTGACGAAAGCTGCGCGATGTTAGCGCTTCCCGCCTAACGGATTCGCCCCGCGCGCCAGCACTCCTCGCTCCTCGCCGCGCGAATCCGTCTTAGACGGGCAGTGCGGATGCTGCGACACACGCGGTCGCTGCTGCGCCCAGTCCGCGAAGTGCGCGCTTAACCGCCTCCAGCGGTCGGGGAAGCAACGCATCTTTTGCGCAACGCCGATCGTGTACCCGCGTTCTCTGGTAATCGCCGGACAGGAAATAAAAAATTTACCAAACTGATGACTTTTGTTATTCTGCTATTGTACTAGGGCCGTCTACATTTCATCAAATCATAGACTAAAATAGTTCAAATTTCATCATATGACAATTGTTGCCTTCGAAACTCTCATCGGCTCAGCGCGCCCGTTTCGAGTTTATACATACGCCTCCACACGTTACCAGCTGCACGACAGGCGTATTGTCTCAGCAACGCATTGCTTCTGGTTCGCTTGATACAATGTATACACATCACATTTATGCTGGCGCTTGCAAATATGCTATGCCTGCTGTATAAAACGCTATAACGCTAGAGTGGCCTGCGCCCGCTCAGATTTTGACGATATTTTTTTTACTATCCCGGCGGGATACCATGCATGCAAGCATTGCAATCTGGTATCCAACACAAGAATCTACTATCCCGCGGATATCGGGATACCGCTAATTTCGCGGCTATACGTACGTACGTACGTACGTGTCTCTCTTTCTGCGCGGCACGCGTATATCGATCTCTTTCTGTGCGTGTGTGTGCGCGCGCGCGTGTGTCACGGCAGCACCATCCAACAATGAACATCAGGTGGATAGGCAACATTCGTAACATCAAGACCGGAGGCAGGCCGTGCAGTCGCTGGCACATCGCCTTCAACGGCAGCGAGTGTGGCAACCCGGCCCGCATTGACGCCTCAATCTACAGCAGTCTGGAGGGACTAGACATACACAGGCCTTCGATACGTACGTATCGTACGTTGTGTTCGCCAAGTGCTTCCCAAACAACGCGATAAGTATGCGGCGGGGGGGGGAGGGGTGAGAACGTTTGAATTCTTGGTGATTGGGCTGCTTTTTTTATTTTGACAATGAAGGATGCAGAGTATTTCGAAAATACCCATTTCCGAAAATTTGAGTCGGGGCTCCAAACAATAGTTGTGCCAGTATTTTCCTCATCCCTGCTAAAATATCTTACGCAGAACTCGACATCTTCATAATATACTGTGTATTGTTGACAGTTGAAGGCATCTGCTATGGCCTGTCTACTGGTATAGTGAACGTACAGCTGTACGTGGGAGACTGCAGGAATCCAGCATACCGCCACGGCGACAGCTACACCTCCTGGGAAAGCGTCTCACGCATGATCATCGAGGAAATACCGCTTGCGTAAAACCGTTGACGCTTTTAAGCGCACGCATATCTATCTATCTATCTTGATATATATATATATAATATTATATATCCTTTTGGACTGTGACCTATGCGATCAAAAACGAATATAGATTACTGTTGTGACGGCGGCATAGTTTCGGACTAGTGTCGGAAGGTGGCGCGGTGTTGCCGCATGTGCGAGGCGCGCGCCCTCTCGCTCTCTTGCTTGGCCGACATTAATGTGAGCAGACGTGAGTTAGCCGGCGTCTCGTAATAAAGCCGTTCATTACCAAATTCCTGTGTTTGTCGATTTATTGTGAGTGCTCCCATGAAGGCATAATAGTCAGCTTTCACAGTGACGCCCGAACGTGGGGCAGTTTTGATTTCCAAACAAAGGAATTCTGCCCGAATCCAAATCGGAGGAGCACTCGATCTCACACAGGTGATTTCTTGGAGGCCGCCATGTTCCATGCTATTCTTTGTTATGATCGACGTAATTTCTGTGCCATTGCGAGGCAAGTAAATGATGTAAATGCCTAATAAAGATTTCTATTACTATAGATAAAATAGGGTCTTCCAGTTTATGCTACTCAGTGTCAAGATCAGAAGCTGTAATAACCGGTTAATACATGTTTTGTGACTGTGGCATGTTGTAATTTGCGTGTGTGACGTCACTCGCTGAGCCCAGCAGTTCGCAAGTAATATGGCAGGAATGCAGTAACGAGAAATCACAAGCGTTCCTCGCTGCTGATATGTTAGTAGCAAGTATTGTACATACGTATATATATATTGAGCAGTCTCTAGTACCTGTGTGCACTGCTAGCATTTCGCAGATTGGCTCGGAGCTATTTGATATCTGTAGCTAGTCTGCTTATGGTAAGATGACGTGAGGCACGTTATACGTGTGTTATCGAGAGACAGAACTTGAAATTATTATTATTAGATAACAGTTTTCATGTGTGTGCGTGAGGAAGTTTACGTATGTGATTCCAAAATTATCTAACCTGCCAATCAAACAAAACAAAACAAAAAAAATTATTATAGTAATTGTG